CCGCGGAGCGGGGGTCCCACTATTGCGCCCGGGGCGCGGGAGGAGGGGCGGGGGGAGGTGGGCGTGCGACGCGGAATGAAGCGTTCGTGGCGGAGGGGGCCATGGGCGGGGCCCCGAGTGGAGCGCTGGGAACGCGGGGGGGCTCGGGGCACAAGGCCGCGGAGCGGGGTTCCCACTGTTGCGCTGGGGACGCGGGGGGAGGGGCGGAGGGAGGTGGGAGTGCGACGCGGAATAAAGCTTTCGTGGCGGAGGGGGCAATGGGCGGGGCTCCCACTGGGGCGCTGAGGGCGCGGGGGGCTCGGGGCAGAGGGCCGCGGGGCGGGGGTCCCACTGTGGCGGTGGGGGCGCGGGGGGAGGGGCGGGGGGAGGTGGGTGTGCGACGCGGAATCAAGCGTTCGTGGCGGAGGGGGCAATGGTCGGGGCTCCCACTGGGGCGCTGGGGACGCGGGGAGGTTCGGGGCAGAGGGCCGCGGAGCAAGGGCGCGACTGCGGAAGTGGGGGCGCGGGTGGGGGGGGCGGGGGAGGTGGGTGCGCGACGCGGAATAAAGCGTTCGCGTCGGAGGGGGCAATTGGCGGTGCTCCCGCTGGGGCGCTGGGGACGTGGGTGGGCTCGGGGCACAGGGCCGCGGAGCAGGGACGCGACTGCGGCGGTGGGGACGCGGGGGGAAAGGCGGAGGGAGGTGGGTGCGCGACGCGGAATAAAACGTTCGTGGCGGAAGCGGCAATGGGCGGGGTTCCTGCTGGGGCGCTGGGGACGCGGAGGGTCTCGGGGCAGAGTGCCGCGGAGGGGGGCCCACTGGGGCGCTGGGGCGCGGGTGGAAGGGGCGGGAAGAGGTGGGTGTGCGACGCGGAATAAAGCATTCGTGGCGGAGGGGGCAATCGTCGGGGCTCCCACTGGCGCGCTTGGGTCGCACGGAGGCTCGGGGCACAGGGCCGCGGAGCAGGGGCGCGACTGTGGCGGTGGGGACGCGGGGGGAAGGGCGGAGGGAGGTGGGTGCGCGACACGGAATAAAACGTTCGTGGCGGAGGCGGCAATGGGCGGGGCTCCCACCGGAAGGGGGCTCGGGGCAAAGGGCAGCGGGGCGGGTGTCCCACTGTCACACGCTGTGGACGCGGGGGGATAGGCGGGGAGGTGGGCGCGCGACGCGGGATACAGCATTCGTGGCCGAGGGGGCTACGGGCGGGGCTCCCACGCGGGCGCTGGGGACGCAGGAGGGCTCGGGGCAGAGGGTCGCGGAGCGGTGGCCTCACTCTGGCGCTGGGGGCGCGGTGGGAGGGGCGGGGGGTGGGTGGGTGTGCGACGCGGAATAAAGCGTTCGTGGCGGAAGGGCGGTCAACGGGCGGGGCTCCCACTGGGGCGCCGGGGGCGCGGAGGAGCTCGGGGCAGAGGGCCGCGGAGCGGAGGTTCCACTGTGGCGCTAGGGGGGGATCCCACTGTGGCGCTGGGGGCGCGGGGGAAAGGGTGGGGGGAGGTGGGTGTGCAACGCAGAGGGGGCCGCGGAGCGGGGGTCCCACTGTGGCGCAGGGGGCCGGGGGGGAGGGGTGGGGGGAGGTGGGTGTGCAACGCGGAATAAAATGGTCGGAGCTCTAGACACCCTGTGCAAGATAATTTGTTTTCCGATAGGAAATCGAATAGGTTTGCTTTTTGGGGGCTGTATTGGGGTGCCTCTTGTGAGCCTCCTGGGGGTCTCTTGGGGCCTATATGGGGGGCCTTTTGGGGCCTCCTGGGGACCTCTTGGGGCCTCCTGTGAGCCTCTGGGGCCGAAGGCTCGGAATTCACCTCTGAGACACCTCTTGGGCTCGTTCTGGGACTCTCTTGGGCTGTCTTGGGGGCCTTTCGGGCCGTCTTGGGACCCTCTTGGGGTCGTCTTGGAGCCCTCTAGGGAGCGCGGGCAGTCTTGGGGGCCTCTTGGGCCGTCTTGGACGCAGTGAAAGCTCAAAAGGCGAACGCGCCAAAAGTATCAGTTTTCCCATAGAGAATCAACGATTTTTGTTTATTAGGGCTCTCTCGGGGTGCCTCTTGGGGCGTCTTCGGGGCCTTCTTGGCGTCATGGGAGTCGTCTCGAAAGGTGTCCGCAGCCATCACTGCGACCTCCTGGGGCCTCCCTGCAGCCTCTTGGGGCCCTGTTGGCCCTGGGTCGCCCAAACCCTATAAAACACACGGAAAATGACGCCCGAGCTCCACATTTGTGATCGAGGCGCCGGCCTCCGGCCCCCGGACCCGGTCCCCCCTTGGCTCTCCTAGGACCTCTTCGGGCTGTCTTCGGGCATTTTGGGGGCTCTTCTAATATATATATATATATATATATATATATATATATATATGTTTTACGAAAGGAATGGGGCCAGTTTTGTCACCCGGGGCTCTCTTGGAGGGCCTCTTGTAGCCTTCTTGGGGCGTCTTCAGGGCCTCGTGGCCCTTCTGGAAGCCATCTTGGGCCGTATCGGGCCTCTCGTGGCGACCAGGAAGTCTCTTGGGCCACCTTGGGCGGACTGGAAGGCCCGGGGGCCGCCAGAGGAGCGTCCTGGGAGGCCCTCCTGGGCCGTCTTGGGGCTGTCTCAGCCGTCCTGGGGTGTCCTTGGGCGCCTCTTGGAGCTTTTTGACCGCTCCGATGTCCAAGGGAGCTGATATCAAAACAGTATATGTTTCTACGAAGGGAGTGGGGCCAGTTTGGTCTCCCGGGGCGCTCTTGGGGGGCCTCTTGGCGGCCTCTTGGGGCGGCTTGAGGGCCTCTTGGCCCTTCTGGAAGCGATCTTTGGCGGTCTTGAAGCGATCCGCGGTTCTCTCGGCGCTGTTGGAGCCTTCTTGGGCGGACTGGAACGCGCGGGGGCCGCCGGAGGGGCGTCCTGGGAGGGGGGCTTTACCTATGTGCAAGGGGGGGTCCGGCCAGGGGCCCGGGGCCCGGGGCCCGGGAACTCCCACATATGTAAATGCATATATGTTTCTAGATGTGTATAAATATGCGGGCGAATCCGGAAACCCTGGACCCAAAAACGTTCTCATCTCTTGGGGGCGCATCCTCTACTTCCTTTTCTTCCGACGCTACACCTTGTAAGATTCGGCGGGACGCCTTGCGATGGGACTCGATGAAAAAAACAACCGCGTTCGCGGCGCAACACATTCTCATACTCAGGCACAGCAAAGCTTCCGCCAACTTCCGCCGAGCTTCCGCCGGCTTTTGCCGTCGGAGGCGGCCTTGCTGTACTTCCGCCGCCCTTCCGCCGCGGAAGAGATCACAATTCCTTCGATCCTCGGAGGCGAGGCCCTTTTTAATAAACCTCCTTTTAGTGAAAACGGCCTGGGACCGAAACCGACGGACCCGGACCCGCAAACTGACGGCCGCAACGCCCTCTCGCGAACCGAAAACGGCCAATTCGCTAGTCCACGTGTCAAGGTAGGATGTCTGTCCACCCCATATATATGTATACATATATGTGTATATATATAAAGATAGATCAATCAGTTTTGCCTTCTCCGATCTAAGCAGGGGCGAATCCCTCGCCCAGCAGCCTTCGGAGAAAGCCCTCTCGCCAGAGGGCCAGTGCTGCCTCCGAGAGTGGAAGCAAGACCATCGGCACGACGACTTTCGGAGCTCCGTGCGGGCTTCCTAGGTCGGCGCTGGGCCCTCTCTGGAGCGCACCATGTTTTGGGCCTGCTTCTTCTTCTTCTTCGAGCAGGCGGGGGGGGGGCCTGCTTTTTCTTCTTCGAGAAGGCGCGGAGAGTGGAAGCAAGACCGTCGGCATGACAACCGTCGGAGCTCCGTGCGGGTTTCCTAGGCCGGCGCCAATCGAAGGAATCCGCTTGGAGCTCCAAAGGTTTAAAGGAGGCAACTCCTGGGAGTTTTTGTTTCCAGAATGTTAGGAGGGAGCCGAACTTGAAAGGCCACTGAGCCAGAATAAGGCGGATCAAGCCCTGAAATCAACTGGGTTAACACGACGACCCATCGGTCAGAAGAAGTAGGTCGAAACATGAAGTAGGAAGGCGTTGAAAGTAGATTGGGTTCCGTCCGCCCCCAAATGAGGAAGGGACAGGTGAAGCAACTTGATCATTGAAGTAAGAAGGCGCTTAAAGTATATTGTAATCTAGAAATCCAAAAGCACTTCATTTCAACGATCGATGGGTAAGCTGGATTCAACGGGATTAAGCTGGATTGAGTGGGCGACTCGGTCCTTCTTTGACGAGGGATGTACCAGCGCCGATTCTGAATGGAACCTCCCAGAAATCATATCCTACACATGTGGCGGGTTCTGCATACCCAGCTGACCCCGAAACAAATGTCATCTACGAGAGGGCCAATTCTTATTCCGAGGGCTTCCGCTGGCCGTCCGCCCGCGGAGCTGCCCCCGTGCTACGTCCGCCACCTCCCGCCGCTCTTCTGCTGCCTTCCGCCGAGGGAGAGGTGGCAACTCCTTCGATCCTCGAAGCCAGGGCCCTTTTCGGACCGCCATATATATATATATATATATATAAAAATATATATATATATATATATATAAATATATATACGTATATGTATGTATACATCTATATATATATATATATATATATATATATATATATATATATCACAGTTTTGCCTTCTCCGATCTAAGCAGGGGCGAACCCCTCGCCCAGCAGCCTTCGGAGAAAGCCCTCTCGCCAGAGGGCCAGTGCTGCCTCCGAGAGTGGAAGCAAGACCATCGGCACGACGACTTTCGGAGCTCCGTGCGGGCTTCCTAGGTCGGCGCTGGGCCCTCTCTGGAGCGCATCATGGTTTGGCCTGCTTCTTCTTCTTCGAGCAGGCGGGGGGGGGCCTCCTGGGATTAGGTCGGGCGTGTCCCCCTACCGGCGGATCTTGGACGAAACATGCAACATATTCTAAACATATTTTCAAAAATACCCAAACACAACTATTTTTTATTATTTTTCAATACCTGCAGAGGCACAGGCCCGACCTAATCCTGGGAGGGAGCCACCCGCCTCCCAGTGGCCCCCACTTTTTGGGGGCGCCGGCCCGGGCCTGGTCGACCTTCACGCCCTGGAGGAAGTCTGCGAACCAGGTGAGCTGGGCGGGGTCCGACCGGAGCTCCCCCAGCATCCTCTCCACCTGGCGGGTTCCGGGAACTCCGAACCCCAAAAATCCTCGAGTCGGGGATGGACGGACTCCCTTTGGTAAAACGCGGTTCAGTGAAAACGACCTCGGGCCCAAAACTGGCGGGCGCAAGCCTGGAAAATGACGGCCGCGGCGCGCTCTCGAGGATCGAAAACGGACAATTCACCGATCGACGTGTCAGGGTGTGAGGTCTGTCCACCCCCGATTGAGACTTCGTGGGAAGCGGATTGTTACTTCCGTCGGCTCCCGCCGGCCCTTCGCCGGCGGGGGTAGCCTCGCTTCTGGGGAAAGCAAAGGGTACCGATGCCGCTGCTCCCCGGACCTCTCCCAGGGTGCGTTCTGACCAGGATTTCGAGGCGAATCCAGCGCTGGCGCCGAAGGCCTCCCAAGAGGCTGAAAAAGGAGAAAGCGAGGCAAAGGGTAGCGGTTTGGGTGCTCTGGGTTTCTCAGTGAGCGTCGGGGGGGCGCCACCCCGACGGGGGGTAACCTCGCCTCGGCGTCGCGCCGCGACGGGGGTCGGAGCGCCTTCGGCGCGCGGCGGTTGTCCGCGACGGGGGTCGATGTGGGGCTGTCGGCGGGGGTGACGCCCCCCCACGCTTATTGAGAGGCTCGGAATACCTTTCCCTCCTCCGAATTCCACATCCGGCGCCTTCCGCCGACCATTTCCGCCGCCTACATCCGAAAAAAAGGCCGACTACTTCGACCCTGGAGGGCGAGGCCCTTTCCGGAACGCCTCACCTGGGAATAGGAGGAGGAGGAGGAGGAGGAGGAGGAGGAAGAGGAGGAGGAGGAGGAGGAGGAGGAGAGGAGGAAGAGGAGAAGGAGTAGGAGTAGGAGTAGGAGTAGGAGGAGGAGGAGACGGAATAGGAGGAGGAGGCGGAGGAGGAGGAGGAGAAGAGGAGGAGGAGGAGGAGGAGGAGGAGGAGGAGGAGGAATAGGAGGAGGAGGAGGAGGAGGAGGAGGAGGAGGAGGAATACGAGGAGGAGGAGAAGGAATAGGAGGAGGAATAGGCGGAGGAGGAGGAGGAGGAGGAGGAGGAGGAATATCGGGATATCCCTGTCAACGTTTGGAATGTAGTCGCACTTTACCACCTAGCCGGCCGATGGCAAACCAATCCAAGGAGGTCCCATCCGCCCTACACCAAACCAGCGCAAACGCATTGATCTTCGTCTCTATACTGTCAGAAGCCAAGCGAAAGCTGACAGACCCGTGGTTGCTAAAACTGAGCTCCGTGAATGTTTCTTTCGGGAAGCAGCCTGTTTACTATTTAGTGCGCTGAGCTCTATTCGGGGATGTTGTATTTTTTTGTTCAGGGAAGTCCGTGTTAGCAGCCACGGATTTGCCAGCCCTCGCCCGGCTTCCGAAATTGGCATCCTCTCGTCCATGTTGCAAAATGGGTGGCGAGACTGGGGCGCGGCGCACATCCCGCGCGAAAGGCCGAAAGGTCGCCCTGGCCTCGGCGCGCAGCGCTCATTTTCGTAGAGAACGGAGCTCCCGCCTAGATGCGGCGCACATGCTTCGCGCGCCCCTTCGTCGACGCGCGAGCGGGCGAAAGTGTAGCCCTCGCCCTGGCAGCGCGCAGATTTTGCCTGAAAGTGGCGCTCCATGACGCGGCGCATGCTATCGCCAATTCGTGGTGGCCAGTGCGGATGAGAGACTTGTCGCCCTCGGCCAATCTCCATGCGCACGTCGCTCGGAAATGGTGCTTGGCACGGGCGCAGCACATTGCTCGTTCGCCGGATCGCGTGAAAGCGAAAGCGGCAGCGCGGCCACGCGATAGCGGCATGCCGACGTGGCCCAAGCACCGCGCAGCTTGTCCGTGGAAGTGGCAGTGCTCTGTCAACGTGGCGCATGCTTCGTCTTCGCCGCGCCCATCGGGAATTTTGCCGCTCCCGCCCCTGCGCGGCCCGCGTAGCTTTCCCCTCGCCACGTCGTCGGAAGCGGGGCCCGCGCGCGAGCGCCCCTGTCTGCGAGGTGGGAGCGCGTTCCAATCCCAATATCCAAGTGTGTCACAACTGATTCTCGTGGTGTGGGAGGCAGGGTGCGCATAGGCGAGGCCTTGTGTTTTTCTCGACCTGGCTTGGCTGACTTTACCAGCACCCGGCTCCCCTGCCCACCAGTGAAGCAACAGGTGATGGGCGGACATCCGCGGCCCCAAGGAGGTAGCGACCCCTTCCCCAGGAGAAGTTGTTCGGCCTGGACCCATCCTCGCAGGAAGAAGCGCTCTGAGTACCTAGCATGTTTGTTAGGAAAAAAAATGACAAGCACCTGAGATCAAACACAAGTGGATGGTATAGGACTCCCGTGGAACACCCTCTGCGCTTTGTTGGCACATCGCTAATTACAAAAGGGATTCCTTTTGCACATCGCCCACACGAGGAATCCGATTACAAACACACACACAAAATATTCGATGTGAAATCAGCACCGTAGAGCTAGACATGAACATGTGAATCGCTCACGATGAGATGTCCTTTGGAAGGGGCCCGGGACAAGTTCAGGGCCCCCCACATCAAAACAAACATACCAACAAAACATAAAACCGCCTCCCTCCTAATTGTTTTCTCTTTTCCTCCCCGCCTCCGCACAACAAAAACGGCTTGAAGGCCTCCTCCTCATCCTCCTCCATTCTGTCTCCTTATAAATAACTTCTCCCTGTCGCACCCCGAGGCCACTTTTTCGGGCGGGCTGGGCGGTTCGCCTGAGACGTCCTCACCACTTATGACCATGAAGCTTCAGAGTTGGCAAGAGTTTCGCAAATGGAGGACGGGTGGGTTTCAAAATGCGGTTCTCGCCTGAGCGCCGCGCATATTCGTTGTAAACTTTTACAGGAGCTCCATGGATTGAGGGCGGATGGTTTTCAACATGTGGCGCTCGCCTTAGCACCGCGCGCACTTATTTTAAACATTTGCAAGAGTTTCACGGATTGAGGGCGTAAGGTTTTCAAACTGTGGCTCTTGCATTAGCGCCGCGCACAGTCGTTCACAACATCTGCAAACTTTTCACGGAATTCCATGATCAGCGTACCACAAAAGGTGGTCTGGACGTGCTCAGGATGACGAGGGTGCAACTGCTACGTTGGTTTGCGGTGTTGAAGTTCCGGGAGAGGCCTTCTGTCACGATTCAGGATCGCCACAACCAGGTTGATCCATGCCGTTCGAATCCCAAGAATAATGATTCGGCATGCTTCAACGTCTTCAAACGGTTGTCTTCCAACGAGGCAGCTCCCTCAGTGGAAATGAGCCGTCTTCGGGGCCTATGATGAGGGAACTTGGAAGGAGGGTTTATTCCAACATCGCTGGTAACTCTTAGGTTCACACTGGTCCTTCTCCTCCTCCTCCTCCTCCTCCTCCTCCTCCTCCTCCTTCTAGCCGTCCTCGTTCTCGTCTTGTCTTTCGAAGAATGGCAAGGAGTCCTGGGCAGAACACGGGTCCTGGGTCTGGGGGGGGGGGGCCTTCCAAAAGACAATCTGGTCTGCTCATCCTGGATATTTTCTGGAGGTCCCGGGGGGCCCCAGGAGGCCGCCCAGCCGTGATTTTCTCACGACGCGAAGGTGTGTGGTTTTCGGGTCATAACTCGGGTCTCTGCAGCCTCCGTTCGGGACGATCTGGGTACCCCTGGAACGCCATCGGCGAGGCGACGCTGCTGGAGATCCGGAGTCCAGGAAACCTCCAAGACCTTACGAAAACTGCCGAACACCTTGCGAGCGAAGGGGGGGAATGTTGGCCAGTTCCCCCTTGTCCTCCAATGACCCGGAGACTACACGCACCCTGTTACCCGCTTCCCTTCATGGCGAGGAGGGGGAGGAATGTGTCGTTGCCGTCGCCGCCGCTACCGCCGATCGCCCGGAGACAGCGAAACACGCATCCTGGGACCCGCTTCCCTCCATAGCGAGGAGGGGTAAGGATTCTGTCGTCGCTGTCGCCGCCGCCACCACCGAGGCTCGCCTCGGCCATCCTCTCTTGGAAGAGCGCGACCTGTGCCGCTCTGCACGAGGACAGGGGGGTGCAAGACCAGACGACAGAAAAATGGGGGAGCATTGTGAGCATTGTGAGGAAACTCCTGGGAAGTCTTCGCAACTGGGAGGTCTTCGCAAGAACGGTCCAGGGTATATAGAGGAACCGCTGAGCCGGATGAAGCCGGATTAAGTACGAGATTTAAAAACATGTGAGCGGGATTGAGCCGGATTCAGCGGGATTGGGCCGGACTGTGCGTGATAAAACCTAAGTCGGCAAGTTTTCGACCAGGGAAGGACCAGCGTCGATTCTGAATGAAACGCGCCGCAGGTGTATCATGAACAACAGAAGCGAAGCAGACCCTCAAGGGGCAAACGAAAGGACCACCACCACACACACACAAACGTGCTGTGTGCTCTGCTTCGCTGCCACGGTCAGGAACCTTTCCTCAGGGTGTCGCGGCGGCTGCGGCGACACGCTACCCCTTGCAATCGTATAGTGTGTCGCTCCGCTCCGCGGGGCGACACGCTGCGAAAGCCTCGGGACGTGGACGCTTGGGATTGGGAAGTGGTTAGCGTGTCGCGCCGAAGCGTGGTGGGCCAGAACCGGTGGCGCGACACGCTAAGCCAAAACTCCTGACCGCCTGACTGCGGAGGGTGTGCCATGTTTACCGTCGGATGAGCAACCGCGTGACTCTGCCCCGCCTGCCCAGACCCGATGCGATGCCTGTGTTTGGGCTCCTGAAGGCGCGAGACCCTGAAGATGGAGAGCCTGGCTGTGCAGTGCACCCCCCCGAAGCATGTGAACAGAGCAATTGCCTGAACCATCCGAAGACTGTCGAACAATGCCGAAGAACGTCAGAACACCACCAGAGGGTCTGCACTAGCACTCGCTCTCCGCGAGTCCTACCGTCCAGGTCTGCGACATGATTAACCGTAAATGGCCCCCTGGAGGGAAACAAACGAGAGAGCCAACATCGCAAGACGCTGCAGACATCAGGCGCTTTGTCCAGATCCGCTGTAAGTGTTTTTTGGCGACGCTCGAGACACGGTAGAAGACACTCGACAACCCACTTACGAACACCTCCGAAGCCAGCCCAGGGTTCCCTTCGGAACCCATTCGGCGTATGAGTCCACTCGGCCGCCAAATGAGCAGCCGAACGGGCGCAAATCTAAAGTGGAGGCCAGTGCACAAGAAATCTTCGACAAGAAACCCAACCCTGAGACCCAAGGACGTCTATTGCTTTTTGGTGTGGGAGCGCCGCGCTCTCCATAGCAAAACCATCGAAACCCAAGAAATCTAGGGCACCCTGGAGGCAAGCAGGGTGTTTCTTAGCATGGGTCTCCACTATACGAAAATCTGCGAAACAGGCGGCGAATTTTCCCAGAAGCGAACTCTGGGGCAGACGTGCCCGAAAGCCTGCGGAGGCCTCCGAACACCCGCGCTCGGCGGCCGACCAGGCTCGATTCACAAGGGATGTGTCGACCCCTATCCCAGGCTTCTTAGGGTTTTCGAATGGACCAGGCATGTGAGGCACAACTCGAAGATATACGATGGGGGGCGGCGTCCATCCTCGATAGGGGTGCGTCCGAATCGCCCCCTTGGTGTGTATCCCTAGGTTTTCCCCCTTCTCTGGGCAGCCAAACTCTTTGGGCGGAGCTCGGGGATTGGGGGAGGAACATCGCCTGCGGGACGGGGCTGCCAGGAACATGGCGAGACCCAGTCAGAAGCTCGCCGCGAGCTCCCGCCGCGAGCATCCCACGGAAAATGGACGGCCAGAATCAAGTCGGGCGTGTCCCTCCACAGGAGGAATATTCAAACATAGAAAAAATAGTCTGGGTGCGATGGTTCTACTATTTTCTATATGTTTTGAACGTTGTTTGGCTATTTTTTTGGTTTCGTCCCACATCCGCCTGTAAGAGGACATGCGCGACCAAAGGCCAGAACCCACCACGGGCTCGTCACTCACCAGCTTCCCCAAGAGTCCACGGCCGGCGGGGCACGGCAGGCCGGGAAGGGACAGAGAAGAGGCAGCAGGCAGCAGGGAGCACGGCAGGATGAGGCGAGGGCACGTGGGCAACTCGGGGGCGAAAATTGAAATGTCGCCAACACGTAGATTAGAACATAATCCACACATAATCACACACACATCGCCCCCTACTGTGTTTTGAATATTTGGGAATATCCCTCCTGTGACAGGGACGTGCCCGACTGAAGCATCGCCCGCGGACCGATCCCCGAGCCCACCACTCGGCGGCCGAACGGCCTCGGGGTCGGCGAGCTTTTGTGGCCCAGCAGCGACGCCCTGATCGGCAGAGGGCGGCAGCGCCCGACAAAAGCCTGCAAGGAGCCCTCTGGGAAGCCTCAGGAGGTAACTGCTGGGAGGTCTTCGTCGGGAAAATGAAAAAGGATTCAGCCCCATCGGGAAGCTGTTGCGCCAGATTAGGTCGCGGATGAAGCGGGATTGCGCCGGATGAAACGGGACTCGGCGGGATTGGCCCGATTTGAGCGGGATTAACCCAGATTGCGGACCAGGGGAGAATCAGAATTTGACCTCCCGTTGCATCCGAAGAAGCCTGGGTCTTCCTGGGCCCCTTGGGCGAAGGGGAAAGGCAGGAGAGTCCAGAACCTGAGCTGCCCCGACACGCAGCACGCAACGCGTGGCGTGTTGGCATGGGAATCAGCACGCAGACTGGAAGCGTAGGTGGACCTGGGCCGGAATAACATCCCTCAAGAGCACGAGGCCCTCCGCTGGCCAAACCGCACAGAACATCCAAGGGTACCCTTCCCCGGATGCACAAGAACATCCAACAAACACGAAGAATACGAGGGTACCATCCTCGAGCCGACCTCGATCTTCTACCTCGGTCCGACTGTAGGGGAAGCAAGGCGGCGTTGCGACGTTGTCGGCGTTGGCTTCTGACACCGCCATGGATCGCCCGGCCCTGAACGACGCTGTTGCTCTCTGACGTTTCTGCTCTCCGTCTCCAATGGCCCTCTTCTGGGCCACTGTGGCTACCGTGCGTTAGCGAACGGAGAATGGTATAAACGGAACACTTGCGCAATCCGGGACGCCTGTCACAGGGCGGCTGGAAACTACCCCTACAATGGCACAGAGGTATAGACGTTCCGATCGCGCAACAGTTGATTCACACCGTCCGTCGCCCGCCAAATACGGTCAGGAACTTTCGCTTAGAGTGTCGCGGCGGCGACCCTGGCGACACGCTATGCCCTGCGAGCTAATAGCATGTCGCTTCATTTCGCCAGGCGGGAGGCTGGGAAAAGCTCGGGAAGTTGATGCTTGGGGATTGGGACGTGCCTAGTGTCTCGCGCCCCAGAGCGGTGGGTAAGAACTGGCGGCGCGACACGCTTTGCAAAACATCTTGACCGTAGATTCCTGCCGGTTCGACTTACATCTTCCGGTAGAATTGACGACACCGAAGCTCTGGGTACTCTGGCGTCGACCGCTCCCGTGGGGCTCAACATGTCTTCCAGCGGGTACAAACAAAAAAAACGTCCGTCCTTTCTGCCGTCGGCTTCCGTGGGCCTTCCGCGAGCCCCTCCTAAGGGCGAGGGGTCAACTCTTCGACTGATCGAAAGTGGTGATCTTCTTGGAGCGCCCTGTGAGCAGGAATCCTGCTTGCAAGCAGAAGCGGGCCTCGGAGTCCTGGTCCTCTGGGAGGTCTCTCAGGCGTCTCGGAGTCCGAATCAGCAGAGCAGGTCTCTTGAACGGCAGAGGCCTCCGGCAGGACCAGAGGGATCTCAGGGGAGGCCTCCCCTCCTCCTCGGAGAGGTCTCCTGGGAGACCTCCAGGAGGACCAGGGGAAGCCTCCCAGGAGGTGGAGGAGCAGGTGAGGCTCCTGGGAGACCTGTGGGAAGGCCACGGGAGGCCTCCTCGGATACCTCCAGGAGGACCAGGGAAGGCCTCATCGGAGACCGCCGGGAGGACCAGGGGAGGCATCCCGGGAGACATCCTGGAGGTCTCGAGTCGTGCTCTCTTCCTCCTTCTCCTCCTCCTCCTCGCCGTCGTCCTCCTCCTCCTCCTCCTCCTCCTCTCCCTCTCCCTCCTTCTCCTCCTCCTCCTCCTCCTTCCTCCTCCTCCTCCTCCTCCTCCTCCTCCTCCGTTGTTTGTCCGCTTCCTCTTCCTCCTTCTCCAACTCCTCCTACTCCTTCGCCTCCTCCTCCTCCTTCTCCTCCTCCACCTCCTCCTACTCGTCCTCCTCCTCCTCCTCCTCTTCCTCCCCCATCCCTTTTCCTCAGAAAGAACTCTTCCCTGTCGCGCCCCGAGGCGTGTCAATAGGGCCGGCTGGGCGTTTCGCCCGAGAACCCCTCACCATGTGGGATCCTTTTATCTGAGAGTTTGCAAGCGCTTCACGGAAGGAGGGCGAGTGGTTTTCAAAATGCAGCTCTCGCCCTAGCGCCACGCAGCTTCGTCGCAAAAGCTTGCAAGAGATTACCGGATGGAGGGCGGGCCGTTTGCGAACTGTGGCTCTCGATTTGGCGGCGTTGGAATCCAAAGAATGGTATTCTGGCACGGTTCAGGGTTTTCAATCGGCTGTCTCCGAACAAGGCACTTCCGTCAGTGACAAAGTGTTTCTGTTGCGATATCGTTGGTGAGTTTGGGGTTTGCACTGGTCCTCCGATCATCCTCATTCTCTTTTTTCACCCTCCAAATCTCCACCTCCACTTCCTCCTCCGCATCCTCCTCCTTTTCTATTTTCCACCTCCTCCACCCCATTGTCCTCCTCCTCCTTGTCGTCCTCCTACTCCTCTTGCTCCTCCTGCATCCTCGTCCTCCTTGTCCTCTTCGTCATCCTCTTTCCTCCTCCTCATCCTCCTCCTGAACTATCTTCTCAACCTCCCCCTCCTGGTGACGATGTGCCCGAAGAGAGGGGGTAGGAGGAATAGCAGCAGCAGCAGCATGTAGTCACGATGAGGAAGACGAAGGCGAGCAGGGGAAGCGACTGACAGCCGCGCCGAGGAATGAAGGGGCGGCCTCTCGACCCAGCCCAGTCGCAGTGAGAACTATCTCGGACATGCGAGGCCAAGAAAATATGAACAAAAAAAAGAGCCTACGCGGGACCTCGAGGCATCGTGGCCCCTCGAGCTTGAGGCTCTGCGGCCGCGCCTCGCCCGAGGGAGGCCGGGCGGGCTGACGCGGACGCGCGGGCCCCGTGCGGCCGGGTGTGGAGCTTGAGAGCGCCATGCCCAATGCCATGGCACGTGCGAGCCCTGGAACGAGCAGGTCTCTAGCACGGCCGGCGGACCCCCCCGGGTCGGGTCGGAGGGGGCCAGGTCGGGACACTGAAAGCATGCTGCGACTTCGAAGCGGCACGCGAGAGCTCTGGCGTGAGGTCGGGCATGTCCCCCTACAGGCGGATTTTGGACGAAATATCTCAGAGACCTCCAAACATACTCTCACCAACATAATCCAGCAATGCTCGAAAAATCGTCCCCAGGCTATTTGTTTGGGCTATTTTGGAATCTTCCTCCTGTAGACGGACAGGCCCGGCTTAACTCTAGCGGGCGGGTCGGGGCGGGCGGGCGGACCCTGGCGGGTCGGTCGGGTCGGGCGGGCGGGACACTACGGTGCGATGCGTGGTCGGGCTGGCGCTCGAGGAGCCCTGGCAGGCGGGGCGCGCCGGCCTGGCGGGTCCTTTCGCGATGATGTCGGGTCGGGTGGGCGGGACATGCAAGGAGGATGCGAAGTCGAGCTGGCACGCGAGAGCCCTGATGGAAGGGTCGGGGCGCGGGGGGGGAGGGGTACGAAGCAAGGGCACTTCGCAAATTTGGTTGTTATCATGTTGCATCGCCGTCCCGCCATGGGTGCGGACACTTTTTGTCCGGGCACCGTCACGGGCGGGTCGGGTCGGGCGGGCCGAAAAGTCAAGCAAGGTGCGCAATCGAGCTGGCACGCTGGAGCCCTGGACAGGCGGGCGGGTCTCGTCGGTCGGGCGGACACGGATAGTCAGCTGGGGTCGGCCGGCGAGACATGCAAGCATCATGCGTGTTCGAACTTGCCCCCTAGCGGGAGGGTCGAGTCGGGTCGGGCGGGCGGGCCAGAACGGGCAGGTCCGATCGGGCGGGCGGGGCATGCAAGCATGATGCGCAATCGGGCAGGCAACCGAAGAACCTGGCGGGCGGGCCAGGCCGGGCGAGCGGACCTCCACGGACGAGTCGGCTCGGGCGGGCGAGACGTTGAAGTGTAGTGCGTGATCGGGCTGGCTCCCGCGAGGGCCCTCACCTCTCAGAGCCCCGACGTAATAATTTTGTCATAACGTCGACCCCCAAAGGTCTCGACCCATTCCCCAAGACCGGCTTCTCATCCTGAATCGTTGTTTGACGGTCCCGAGGCCCAGCGAGGGCCCCCAGATGCCGAAAGTGAGACAAAACCTCGCGCCATGATTTCTTCATTGCTCGAGGGGGTCTGGGCTGCGGGCCCGGGTCGGAATGGGCGTGCCCACATGGGCGGGTCGGGCCGGGTTCAGGCTGGCACGCGAGGTTCCTAATTATCGCGCGGAGCTGTGCGGCTGCCCCGCCCGATGATTGACCGGGCGCGCGATGATACCAGCCCAGACGCCGCCCGTGCCGCTCTAGCGATATTCCCCCCCCTGACAACAAAATATTGCACTGATCATGACTCCTGTGGCCCGCATGCGGCAGAACTTCATGGCCAGTGCCCCATAACGACGTCGGGTCAGGAAGGTTGGATGGTCTACCAACGTGGCCGTTGGTCGTCCGGCGGAACGGAAGGAAACGAGGAAGAGAACGGAGACAGCTAGCGGGACTGAGCCAAAGTGATCAGGGACCCCGCGCAGGATTGGCGTGCTCTTTGCAAGGGGCGGCTCAGCATCTGCCCTGATTCCTCAGACGCGGCGGGGCCGTTTGCCTTGTCCCTGGTCGCCGGGGCCCCCAGTCGCTGGCCCCGTTCGCCAGCCTCCTGTTGGACAGTCACCGCTCATGGTCCCATACGCCCGGGCCCCCAGGGGCCCAATGCTCCGCACATCCGAATTCGCAAACGGATGCCGTTCGCCTGGTCCCCGATCGGCGGTTCCTCGTTTGCTGGCCCCGTTCGCCGGCCGTGCTGTTTGACAGTCGCCGTTCGTTTCCCAGCAAGCCCTGGGCCGCAGGGGCTCACTGATCCGCACGCCGCAGGGCGTCCTGCTCTAATTACGACTGGCGATTCTCGTAAGGGCCCCACGATGCCAGGGCGAGGGAACCGAGCGGAGTGGGATGGGAGGCTTTCCAAAGCTTGCTACTGGGAACGCACATTACTTGCATCCCAGGAAGTTGCCGCTGAGGATCCCCCTCCGTTTCGCCGAACCAGGGGGCGCTTCACTCTCCGAAGCCCCGCCGTGGCAATGGAGAGCCGCCGAACACCCCTCCTCCTCCTCCTCCTCCTCCTCCTCCTCCTCCTCCTCCTCCTCCTCCTCCTCCTCCTCCAGGAGTCTCCATGCACGGGGGGGAACCTCCCCGTGGGCCATGGGAGGCCTCCCGGAGGCACCCCGGAGTCCCCGCAAAGGTCTCCCGCGCTGGCCCACACGTGCTCTGCAAAAGACCTCTGGCCCTGCGAGGCCTGGGCGGGAGGAAGCTGCCGAGATCTCCCGGGAGGTCTCCGCGGAGGATCACGGGAGGGCCCTGGCACTGGAAGGTCTCCAGGTCTCCTGGGAGGGCCAGGGAAGACCTCCAGGAGGCCTCCTGCTCTGGAAAGAGGACGCCTCCTGGGAGAGCCCCCGGAGGACCAGGGCGCCAGCAAGTCAAACCACAAACACAAACACAATACACATGTAGACACATATATACACATATGTACACAAACACAAATGTATACACATAAACTAACTCTCCAGGCGCGCGGGGCCGATGCTGCCTTGGGGCCCAAAAACTCTGGCCGAAATAGCAACAGCGCTAAACAAGCGCAAAGAGAAACGGGTTGACAAAGTGTCCCACACACACACACCGGCGCGAAGGGAGAGAGGCCTGGGGCACACAGAGGGCAGACGGGTGGGGCACCCATCAAGACCCTCACGCTGGGTGGGAAAATGTACCAAGCGTCTGCCAGTCGCAACCAGAATCCTGGCCCGCACGTTCTGTGCACCAGCTCACGCTACCACGCGGGGGGCGCAGCTCCCACTATACGCACCCAAGCGAAATCGGGCCGCAGCCCCGATCGCAGGAGAGAGGGGACTTTCCGTCTCTACCGTGAGCTCGCACGGCAGTCACATCACTAGGGGGACGCAGCTCCCGCGCTCCCAGCTCCGCAATGGGCCTTCCTCTCCTTCGCTCGCCCACGCTGTCGTCGCCGTAGTGCCTGACGCCGCCGCTCTTGGGGGGAGGCTGAAAAAACAGCCTTCAGAAACAGCTCCAGTCTTCAGAAACAACGCCGGCACGGAGTCGAGCTGCACCTCCTTCGTCGGGATGTCTGCAAACATGTTCGCTCGGTCGGCGTTTATCTTGATGGCTTCTTCCTGCGCAACCAAGTCCGGGGCCACGAGCAAATTGACGAGAATCTGCCGCGACGCCGGCAGATATCTGGTCTTGCGCATGCGGTCGAACAGCGACTTTGCATCACGAGACACTGTTCTCGGGATCTTCAAATTGAGCCTCCAATCTCCTCGGAGATCGGGCTCCCCGAAGACGACGCTCCCGATGAGCAAACGCAGCTACAACTGCCTGTCAAAGGCCACCGACATTGCCGCCGACTCTGCCGCCGTAGTGGAGCCAACAATTCTCGTGGTAGTACTGCGTTGCGTTGGAACTCCACCTCATCGCAATGTCCCCGTCGTCTTGGTGGCGACCTCCGCCATGAGACTCATTAAGCCCATCTGTCTTTTACAGCCCACCTGCCTTGCAAAAGAGGCGCCCGCCAGTGTAAGTACCAACATGTTGTCGACGTTGAGCCTCCGGAGTCACACCGTTGCCACTCTCTGTTTGTCGTAGCCAATTGACCGGCCGGTCAACGCGTAAAGAGCTCGTACGGAAAAGGACTTGCTGCTCGCCAAGGCCGTCTCCGAGATCGCAGAGGCTGGGGCCTGGAGCTGCAGCCCAATCCTGTTATTACGAAGATCGGTTATCCAAGCCATCATGGGTTGACCTTGGCGCCAGGATGCCTTCTCCCACTCCTGGAGGAGGACGTTGTCGAGCCTCTCGTGGTCCATCTTCTCGACAGCGTCGTCGTAGATCGCGCAGATCATTTTCAAATCGCCGTCCTTCCGAAGGTCCTCGGGCTCCACGATCTCGATGAGAATTTCCGCCATGCCACTCATTTGGCTCGTTAAGAATGATCAGGGCGAGCTCCGAGTCCGTCAGCTGGTTGAAGCTCTGGATGAGGCTCAAATTCTTGCGCCACACTCTGTCGCGCTTCGTCGACGTCTTTACGTCCCCGTCGAAGCCCGGCAACTTCACCTGGGAGGGCAGCAATCGCGTCCAACGTGGATCTTCTGCGCTGCAAGCGGAGGTCCCTCCGCGTCACCGCCATGACGCGGAGCACCGCATGCAGATCCAGAGCACGGTGAGGGCTTTGAATGAGGAACACTTAGATAAGGAATCCAGGGTCTGGAAGCTGGTGGAACATCAATGGTGGCCGGACCATGGAAATCACCGCCGCCCTCCAGGTGAGGAATCCTCCAGGGTCTGGAGCCTCCTGGGCACATTCCTTAACCAACGCCCCCACTGTAGCACCCGGATCGTCGCCGGCCGAAGGCGAGGATGCAACCTCGCCGTCGGCAACTCGCCCGCCAGCCACGGCGCCATGCCCGCGCGGGGGAACACATCGCTGCTGGAGCTTACACCTGCTGCGGAGAGCGTGCCAGCTCAGGCGTGGAGCGTACAAGCTCTGCTGCCAACGTCAAGCCTGCTTGTTTTTTCACTGCGGGCGCGCGGCGCCGATGCTGTCTTGGGGCCCCAAGACTGGGGTGGAAATAGCAGTAGCGTCAAGCATTCAAGGAAGGGTCAGCAGAGTGTCCCTCCCCCCCCCGCGGGGAGGGAGGAGAGGACTGTGGCAAAGCGAAGGCAGACGGACGGGGCACCTTTGAAATTCTCACACTGCCTAAGGAGGCGACGACGGCGCGTGGCGATGGCGGCGGCGGCGGCGCGGCCTGCTGCTCCATGGTGGCCCGTGCGGCCGCCTCGTCGATGCGGCGCTCCAGCGCCCTGAGCCTCGCGTCCACCTCTCCACATGACATGGGGGTGAGGGGCAATGTTAGGGGGGACCTTTTGCACAGCGTGTCGCGGCGGCGGCCCCAGCGACACGCCATGCCTTGCGAGCGGATAGCATGTCGCTCCGCTCTGCAGGGCGGGAGGCTGGGAAGAGATTGGGTCGTTGACGCCTGGGGCTGGGGCGTGGATAGCGTGTCGCGCTGGGGTGTGGTGGGGCAGAACCAGCAGCGCGCAAAAAGGGGCACGAGGTCGAGGTAGAGAAACAAGCAGCCGCAGGCGGCAGCGGCGACTGCGGCGGCCGGTACGGCGACCTCGACGACGACACGACCGACGACGTGACGCTGGAGGATGTTGAGGACACCCAGGGACTTCGGCGGAGGACGCCTCTCTGCCGAGTCTTGCCCACGAGGATCGGGGATCAGTGGCTTCGTTTCGTGTGTATTTCTTTTCGGGGGGAGTTGTGAAGTCTTCGGGGGAGGGTGAGGGGCAACGATAGGGGGGGACTGGCATAGGGGGGGATGCATCGACCTGGACTCGGCGATGCATCGACGATAGATCGGCGATAGGCCCCCGATGGCAAATCCTGGGCAGGTTGGGGGCTATCAGGTCCCGATCGGCGATCAGTGGGCGATTGCGTGTCGATGCGCCCCCCATATGCCTATCCCCCCTATCGTTGGCCTATCCCTATGCCTATCCCTGTGCCCCCTATCCCCCCCTATCCCCCCTATCCCTCCTATCCCTATCCCCCCCTATCCCCCCCTATGCCCATCCCCCCCCCTATCGCTGCCCCTGCTGAGAGGGGGGCGGCGCGAGGTTCAGCCCCAGGGGCGCCGCCCAGTCGCCGACCCCCTCGCCGCCGCGCTCGCCGTCGTCGTCGTCGTCGTCGTCGCCGCCGTCGCCGCCGCCGTCGTCGTCGTCGTCGTCATCGCTGTCGTCGCCGTCGTCGTCGTCGCCGTCGTCGTCGTCGCCGTCGTTGTCGCCGTCGTCGTCGTCGCCGAGAGGCAACGGCGGTCGCCGCGGGACGTCGGCGCGTCACCTCGGCGCTGCCGTACGGGAGCAGCCCCGCGGGCGGCAGCCCCACGTGGGCCGGCCGCGCGGGCTTGGCGCGGGTCCCGGGCGAGTCGCCGGCGGCCGTGCCGCCTGGCGCCGCAGCGCTGCCGCCGCTGCTGCGACTGCTGCTGCTGCTGCTGCTGCTGGTGCTGGTCCTCGTCCTCCTCGTGTTCTTCGTCGTCCTCGTTTTCCTCGCCCTCATCGTCCGTCTCCTCTCTCTCTCCCTCTCTCCCACTCGTCCTCTTCGCCCGCCCTCTGCGTCCTCCCCGTCCCCGCTCGTCCCCGTCCCCGTTCGTTTTCGTCCTCGCCCTCCTCGCCATGTTTTTTTTTGTTCTCTCTCTCTCTCTCTCTCTATTCCTCTTCGCCCCCCCCCCCTCCTCCTTCTCGTCCTCGTCCTCCGCTCCTCCGTCCTCCGCTATTCTCTATTCCTCCTCGCCCTCCTCCACCTCTTCCTCTTCCTTTTCCTCCGTCCCCTTTTCCTCCACCTCCTCCTCATTCTCCTTCCCCTTTTTTCCCCCCCTTCCTCCTCCACACTTGTTCATCCATACTCTCTTACGTCTCTGCCTGCCAACATGGGCTGCAGGACGACGGCCAGAACTACAACAACAACTACAACGAGCATACCACTAACACGATCAACAACGGCATGCCCATGAGGAGAATCTACGCCGTCAGGAGGCACGACTAGGAGCTACCCCCCCCCCACGACCACAAGCTGAGGGACGAATGGAAGAAGACCAAGAACGCTCAGGAGCGAATGGCGGCAGCTGATATCGTCAAAAACAGCGCAGCAGGTTTACCTACTACCGACGCCGTCACACAGATCGCCTTCATCCTCCTCCTCCTCGACCTCCTTCTCGACCTCATCTTCCTCCTCCTCCTCCTCCTCCTCCTCCTCCTCCCTCCCTCCCACATTCAACTTTTCATTTCGTGCTTCTCCTCCTCCTCCTTCTCGACCTCCTCCTCCTCCTCCTCCTCCTCCTCCTCCTCCTCGTCCTCCTCCTCACCTCACCCTCCTCCTCCTCCTCCTCCTCCTCCTCCTCCTCCTCCTCCTCCTCCTCCTCCTCCTCCAGACCTCCGACGGCATGATTCTTCCTGATGCGGACCCCCCGAGGTCTGGACCCCTTCCCGGGGACCGTTTTTCGTCTCAGCATTTGTTTGTCCAGTTCCCGGTGCTCCCGTTGTGCTTTGTGCAAGACGCGAGGGGGTCTGGGTCCTCCTCCTCCTCCGCCTCCTCCTCCTCCTCCTCCCTCTGCTCCTCCTCCTCCTCCTCCTCTTCCTCCGCATCCTCCTGCCCTTGCTCCTGTCCCAGTGACGACGCCGCCGACGACGACGTCCTCGAACGACGCCGCAGGCAGGGGCCGCCTTGCCCCGCCGTGCTGTCGGGGCCGGACGTTTATACATGCTCGTTGCCTCGGGAGGCGGTGCACCAGGATCCCACAGGAGACATTGAATGTGGATAGCCGAGCTCCCACCTCCTCTCGGTGTCAAAGAATTAAAACGGGAGTTCTTACAATTTTCGGGCTCTGGGGGCCCTCCCTGGGCCCCTGGACCGTCAAAACACTACTACTCGGGGTGAAAAGCCGCAACTGCTCGCAGGAACCAATGCTGGGCCACCTCAGACCCACAGCCGGCTCCAGCCTCGATCCTCGATCCTCAGAGACTCGAGTCCTCCTCATGGTTTTCTTCTTATTCTCCTCCCTCCCCCTCCTGCTCCTGCTCCTGCTCCTGCTCCTCCTCCTCCTCCTCCTCCTCCTCCTCTCGCTCCTGTCGTGGTGACGACGATGCCGATGCTGCCGCAGCCGACGACGACGTCCTCGAGCGACGCCGCAGGCGGGGGCCGCCTTGCCCCACCGTCCTGTCGGGGCCGGACGTTTACAGATGCTCGCCGCCTCGGGAACTCGTGCCCCAGACCCCGGGAGGAGAAGAAGGAGGAGGAGGAGGAGGAGAAAGAGGAGGAGGGGGAGCCTACGTCCCCCCGCTGCGCGGGGAAAATATACCCGTGGATACGCGTAGCCGAGCCCCGACCTCCTCTCTTGTGAAAAAAATACGCCGGAAATGTTCTTACGATTTGGGCACTCTGGGAGGGGCATCGCCGGGCCCCTGGACCGTCAAAACACGAATGTACAAAATAAACAAACCGGTCCTGGGGAATGGGTTGAGACCCCTGGTGCTCGCGTTGTGACACAATTCTCGACGTCGGAGATCTGGGCATCCATGGTGTACACTGCCTCAGGGTCCTGGGGCACCTCCTCCCGAGACAGCTAAGGTGAGGCATTTTTTTTATCCTATAACCCTGGGGCTTGACATGCACAAACAAATTCGGACGCCGACTTACGGCCCCACAAACAGAGCTTGCACGGGCCCGCGGCCGACCAGGCCCAGACCCCGAAGCGCGACCGTCACTCCGCGCTCAGGCCGACCACTGGCCTGGGGTCCGCCGACCTGGCCGCCCTGGCGACCCTACCTCGCTCCTGTGCGTCAGCCGCGCTGGCAAAGCCGAAAGAGCTCAGGGCTCCCTCGAGCCCTGGGCGAAACAGCCTCCCAGGGGCAGGCGGGGCAAGTGCCCGCTCCCGCAGCACTGGGGGCTCCACTGCTGGGGCTCTGGAGCCTGCAGGGGCCTCGGAGTCCCCCACGCCCCCAGGGCCCGCGACCGAGCCTAGCGACTTGGCCCACCTGGCGCGGGTGGCCGCTGTGAGCCGAGCCAGCTGGTCGATCGGCTGCTTGGATTTCCCAGGCAGGATCGACTTCGCGAAATCATTCCGTGCCTGCGCCCTTGAGCCCTTTTTGGCCCTAGGGTCGTCAGCTCGCTGGGCCCCGCTGCAGGCCTTGGCCAGTCCCCTGTGGCAGTACCTGGGTTTCATGCAATACATCCAGCACGCCACACACACACCAAACACTCAGGGCCGTCCCCGCCAGAAACGCGCGATTCGCGAAGACGGTGGCCGTTGACCTCCCAGACTCCCGATTCTCCAGGGTCGACCTGGGACAGGCCCTCACGCGAACCACACGAAAAGGAAACCCTCGACCTTTGGCCAGGGTCAGGGGTCTCCAGCAGGGGCCCTGGGGCCCCCCTCTGGCTAGAAGGGCCCGAGAGAGCACTCGGAGGCGGGACGGCGGCCTCTAAGGAAGGAGAGGCCGCAGGGGAAGGAGGGGGAGGGGGCAGCGACACAGCCGTCTTGGGCGGGCACAGAGCGTCCGCGGCAGAGGGCGCTGTCCGCTCCGCCTGCTCGGCACGGCGACGCTGGACCGCACGATGCAAAGCCGCCGACGCGCTCGACTCAACAGCGGCTGGCTCACTGGGCCCGCCTGGCCCCTCGTCCGCTTCCTTCCTCATGCACTCCTTCGAGTCAGCCTGGTCCTGGGACTGGGCTCCCTGGCTGACCGCCGCTGCCGTCACCAGCGCTGCTGCCGCCCCTAGGGCCGCCGTGCCGCCAGGGCCACGGGCAGTCGACTCTTCAGCTTCCAGCAGCAGCCCCAGGGCGGGCGACGGGGCGTAGGGGTCCAGGTCCACGAGGTCCAGAGAGGTGAGCGGCCAGGAGTCTCTGAGCCCCGACTCCGTGATGTGCACCTCGAGGGCAGCCGCGCACCTGGCCACCTCCTTCGCCCGAGCCAGGCAGCCCTCCAACATCAGGGCGTCATGCTCCGCAATGGCGTGAAAAGCCGCTCCTTCCTTTGCCCTGGTGTCGGCGCACCTGTTGCCCACTAGCTCGAAGAGGGTGAGCTCCCCGTCCTGCGCCGCGGCCTCAGTGCGGTGGGCGGGCACGTGGCGAATGGCGACACCTTCCGCCGCATCGCCCACCCTGGCCCAAACGTGGGCGTGCCGGGAGCTGGGGCCACAGGCCTTGGCCAGGTTAGACGCCGCCCTGACCGTGCTCAGGCAGTCGCTGAGCAGCGTGTAGTTCCCGATGATGTCGGCGAGGCCGATGGCGGCAGCGTAGTCCTCGCCCGCCTTGGCCGTCTGCGACGGGAGGTCGCTGGGGGGCACTGCGCCCCACGCCTCGGCGATGAGCCTCCCCTCTGGACCGTGCACGATGACCGCCCAACCCGCGCCCCTGACGTGCGGGAAATCCACGTTCAGGCACGAACCGTCGGTGAAGACGAAAGACCCATCGGGTACCACCAGGATGCCGTCCCCCCACCCGCAGGATCGTCTCGCCCAGCAGTCATTCCAGGCTGGTCTGGCCACCAGCAGGCTGATGTCGGCGAAGAGCCCCTGACAGAAAAGCTCGTCGAAGGGGGGCCCCACGCGGTGGACCTGCACCGCCGCCTGGCTCACCTGGTGTGGGCAATAGTCCCTCCTCCAGTCCGCCCAGGCTGGGCACTCATGGTGTCTGTGGTGCATCGTCCCAGGGGCGGCGCCACAGAGCTTGCAGAGCGGGTCTATTTCACGCCCATGCCTCGCCAGACGGGCCTGGGGCCAGCTGGCCATCGACGCCAAACGTCTCAAGCAGCCTTTGTGGTGGCCCGTCCATGTTTCTGACTCTTTGGCCCCTAGGAGCTGGTTGATCGGCGTCCACCACGGCGGCAGCTCCCACTGCCAGAAAGTCTCGGGCCTGCTGGCGTACTCCTCGAGCGAGGCCGCCTGACGCGTGTCCTCCTTGACCCTGGCGGCGAGGAAGGCGGGCGAGAACCTCATTACATCGAACTCGCAGCCCTCCCTGTCGGTCAGGATGCGACCGCCTGCTCTGAGGCCCCAGCCGACCCGCCTTAGCGTGAGCACCAGCGCCGAGACGGGGTCGCGCACCGCGGCCCACGGCCTCTGCAGCGAGGCCAGACGGCTGCTGTCCCTGAGGCAGGCCTGCACTGCCGCAGGCGAGGCCTGGCCAGACCAGCTCATGGCCGCAAACGCCTGGACCGCCATGCCCGTCGCAATTGCCAGCGGATCCTGCCTCCAGCCCTGAGGCGCGCACTGCAGGCAGAACGTCAGCGCGGCGCCCGCCGGCAGGTTGCAGGCTGCTTTTGCTGCAGATATCCTGAGCGCCCTCATGCGCCCAGGCGGTATCCCGCTGATGGCCGAGCCCCACAGAGCCTTGGCAGTGGGGCCTGCCCTCTGGATCTTGGCCTGCCTCATCCCCGAGCCGAAGATCCTGGTGAGGTTGTT